CCGGCCCCGCCGCAGACTCCACCTCCTCGTCCTCCCCATCATTGTTAGCCCTGTCATTAATACCACTCCTTAAGCATCCTTCGCTCCCGTCTACCACCCCCGCGGAGGGGAGCTCCGGGGAGCCGGGAGCGAGCGCCCGGCCGCCCCGCTCCGCCGCCGGGGGCTCCGGCTCCGGCCGCCGCTCGGGGAGCCGCTCGGGTCCGAGGCGCTCGGGATGTGAAAGAGACAGTCATGTGTCCCCTTTCTGGCGGAGCTGACCCCTCGGGATTAGAGGTCTCACCAGCCTTTATTTCCTTTTCTCTGCTCGTATAAAAGCAGGTTGAAGGTGATGCGGTGTCTTGGGCAGACACTGCAGTGTTTTGATTCAGCTCAGCCCTTTTCACTGTTCAAAGCAGCTGTTCAAATACTAGGGCTGCTTACTTTGACGTGAAGAAGATTTTCAAACAACCCCAAAAGCTTTGAACTGACAGGCCTCCTTGATATCTCCTTCATTGCAGTGCAGCTACTCGAGAATATTCGCTATAAAATACATGAGTGCCACTTAACTGGAGCTCTCTCCTGGCTGGGAGACGAGGTGCTGCATACACATCAGGTGGGTGCAGAGGGACGCTGGCGTGGCCGGGAGCTCTCCCACCGCCCCACGCCCGGCCACCCCCTCTCCCGGGGATCCCCTGCCCTCCACCAGCCTCGGGCTGCCGCAGCGGGCTCCGTCTCTCCAGGCGTTGGACACCCTTGGCGTTTCAGCTCCGTGCACGCCGGAGAGAAAGCTGCATTTTTTTTTCCAAGCAGGAAAACAGGAGCACGGCTTGTTCCTGGCGAGCCCCGGCTCCCAACGGGGGAATCCCCCGGCCTCCTTTCTGCGTCTCTATTATCTTCCCATTAGATGTTGTTTTAGGAGGAAATGCGCCAGGAGTGCAAAAAACGCGGCGAGTTGCTCGGAGAATTGCTGGGTGCAATAAACGTGAGGCTCCTGGTGCTCCCTTTAAAAGCCAACTTGGAAGATTTGTGCTTATTGCTGGGGCACATTTAATGCACCTTTTGTGAGATGGGATTGTTTTGATCTCTGCTTCCTTTTTAACCTTTCTCTATGAGGTATTCAAGCCTGCACTTTCGTGTGGCTCTTTCCAGTGTTGCTCCAAGGAGTCTAATTCGGCGGAGAGACCCAAGACATGAATGAAACTTCAACCTTAAGGGCCTGCGGAGAGACAAAACTGAGGCCGGGGCTTCACAAGTGATTGCTTGAAAAAAAATCCAATCTACACAAAGAGGCAGCTGGCTGCTTTAATGAAAACTGCTTAAAGCTGCAAGAACTGCAGCCTCAGGGATGTATTTATAAGATGACTCAAAAGCTACACTTTCAAGTTGCTTCTCCTCGGGGTAGATATAACAAACACATTTAACTAAGAAATCTAAACAAAAAGGACAGAAATTGATAACTTTGATTGCACAAGCTCACATTACCCATTGAAATTAAAATCCGCCGTCTAAATAGATTTCTTCACCTATCTCGAGAGGAAAGAAAATCTCTCTCCCTGCGTTTATGGATATATACACATAAGTGTAAAATCATACACATTTTTTTGCCCTGCTAGAATACTGGTTACCGAAGAAGATCGAAAGGTGTAGAATTTAGGGGGAAAAAAGAAGTTTCTGTAAAGTTTGCATTACTGTTCATTTCCAGCATCACCCCCAACTCTCTTCTTCGGCCACTTCGTTCATCTGAGACTCCGCTATTTTACCCGCGTCACTGTTTAAACCACTAGGATACAATATT